GCTCAAACTGGTTCATGCCCAAAGCCTTTCCCAACTCCAAAATCCTATGAAAAACTCCAAGATGAGTATAAATAAGATGGTTATTTCTATTTTATCAAACACTGGCTTTCTTTCTTTTTTTTTTAAAGTGATATTTAGGGTTAAACAGTAAAGTAGGGGTGAGCTGTAGAACCCTTCAACCTAGGGATTCTGATCACTCTGAGTTGGATTTCAGAGAGTGTGAGATATTTCTTGAGTGTGAATCATTTACAGCCTCTGCAAGGCTGCCTCTGAGGCAAAGTATAGTAGATGTGGGTGAACAATTATTGCTTCTTTTCTTTTTTTTTTTTTAGTGTTTATTTACTTTGGGGGGAGTTGAGTGGGGGAGGGGCAGAGAGAGGAAGAGAGAGAAAATCCTAAGCAGGTCCTTTGCTGTCAGCCCAGAGCCCGACATGGGGCTCAAACTCACAAACCATGAGATCCGAGAGTGAGTTCAAGATCTGAGGTGAAATCAAGAGTCAGACACTTAACCAGCTGAGCCACCCAGGCGCCCCAACATTTATTGCTTATTTTCTATACTCAAAGCATGCCTGTTGAGAATCAGTTGTAATAGGAAAAAAGTTTACTTATAGTTGCTCAGATAATTACGAACAAGTCTTGATTTTAGAATTGAGGTCCTTGCTGCATTTTTAATACAGGGGCTTGTCTCTTCCTGGGTCATGACACCAGCAGTTAGCTTCTGTCCCAGTACAAGGACATTACGGGCAGCAGAGTTCAGATCTGTCAGTTTTTCTGCTTCTGAGGGTCCCAGGTGACCTGTTAAAGGACAGGGTCAGGACCAGGAGATCACATGTCTTCAATTTCCAGTAATTCCTAGAGGAGCCCAACTAGCTGATCTCTCTTATCCATAGCTTCCCACTCTTCGTATACATGTTAAATGCCTTCCTTTTTAACCCAAGTTTTATTAATCTCATTTTCCTTTAATTCCAAGACCCAAGGTATATCTATTTTTGCTTTCATTTACAGATGGACCTGGATGAAGACACTGGTAAAAAATGTTACCAAATTTGCTAGCATGTGAAAAATATATTAGGTCAAGTATTCACATCTCATTTCGGAAACTGAGGACGGAGCTCCCTGAAACACCACCACCTCCCACGCGCATGCCCAGAGCTGCCATGTTGTTAGTGGGAGGGTTTGTAGTGAACCAGCCCAGGTGCCCTGAGACCATGGGCAGGTGAGGAGGGTGTTGTGTGTGAGTGTTTGTGTGAGTGTGTACCCCCTAAGAAATGAAGGACAAGTCTTTAGGGAAAATAATCGTTCAAATATGAATGCTTACCCTTCATCTACAGAATTCTACCTAATCTTTTATGTAATGCTATTAAGATAACTGTTGGAATCACTCATTGTTTTGCTCATACTATACTATCTGCTAGGGCTTAGCCTGAGAGGGAGCAGGCGGAGGCCCCAGCAATGGCCACGGAGGAGCCTACTTCCCACTTCAGGTGGCTTCTCCAGCCCTGTCAGTCCCGTTCTGGCAGTCTTAGCTTTTATCCCTTACTTTTGAACATATTGTCTGTTGTCTCATTTCTTTTGCCTCAACATGAACAGATAGTCCTCAGCAAGAGTGTTCAAAAATTTCCCAGTGGTGGGGTGCCTGGGTGGCTCAGCTGGTTGAGCTTCCAACTTCCACTTAGGTCATGATCTCATGGTTCATGAGTTCGAGCCCCACATCGGGCTCTGTGCTGATAGCTCAGAGCCCACTTGGGATCCTCTATCCCCTATGCGCTCTGCCCCTCCTCCATGTTCTCTCTCAAAAATAAACATTTAAAAAATTTCCAGTAGTGAATTGCAGAATTAGATCTCCTTATAAATAGCTTGCCTCCATCTTCTTTTTGTCCCATACTTTTGGAATAATATTTTATTACAAATAGTTTTATGTTAAGGAGCGCCATGCTAGGACTGGGTTTGATTCCAAGCAACATGCGTTTAGTGTGTTTGGAGTCTTTATGTGTATAGTCGTATGTGTTTTCGTTTACTGGGAAGAAACCTTGCCCAGCTTCCTGCTACAACTTGAAAGGAATTAAACTTGAGTGATTCAAAGTAATTGAACTAATTACATTAAATCTCATCCACAGTTTCGAAGTGATGCCGGCTGTTGGGACCCAGAGCACGTCCCCAGCCATGGCGGGATGACAGGAGAACTGGTGTCTAGTTCATTTAATATCTAATTAGGAATTTCATCTTGTAAATATCAGGTGAGCCGCACCCGAGATGAGGTTGTATAATAAACACCTGTATTCCTTGTAGTGAATGTTTCTCAGTGCGATGTTGCTCCACGTAGATTAGACTGAGAAATCCCAGCTTGATGACATGTCACCATGGGATGCGGGGGGGGGGGCGGCGGGGGAGAGCTTTTCTCCCGGTAATTGCTACCAACTTGGCTTAATACCATCTCCCTCTGATCCAACAACTTCCAGTCACTTCTGTTTTATGTTTTATTTCTGGTAGACATTCTTCAACTGCATTAGGTATTATTACTTAGGGTCCTTGTCCAGATTAAAATCTTTCTTTCCCACCCCAGGGTAGCTTGGGCTCAGCACATGCATGAGGCTGGGCCTCCCCATCTCCCTCCTTCTGCCCTCAGGGTCCGAGTGCCTGCGCAGGGCTGGGGTCGGGTGGGGTTGGGCAAGGGAAGGACTTGGCTCACACATCTCTGGATTCCCTTTGTTTTTAAATTTTTTAAATTTATTTTAGAGAGAGAGAGAGCGAGCGAGCACAAATGCGGGAGAAGGAAAAATCTCAAGCAAGCTCCATGCTTAGCATAGAGCCTGACACATGCTTAGCGTAGATCCTACAACCTTGAGATCATGTCCCGAGCCAAAATCAAGAGTCAGACGATCAACCAACTGAGCCACCCAGGCACCCTGGCTTTCCTTTGATTTTCAGCAGTTCTTGCTACGCTGGTGGCTGTCGTTGGTGATGTAGGATCGTTGACTTCTGTTTGGTTGGGACCAAGCCTCCACTGTCCTGGGGTTCTTGGTGTGGGGGTGAAGCCTTCAAGGTCTTCTCCCTTCACCTTGCCTTCAGGCTCTTTCACCCTCAGGGGGGGCTGTTGCTCCAGAGTTACAGGCAGCAACTTACTCAGTCACTGATGGTTGTGGGGACCTTTGGGGTCTCTCTCAACAGCATCCAGAACCTCAGGACTCTGGGTAAGAGGCTGAGGAACCACCTCAGCATTTTCGGGTGCCTCTACCTACAGGTGAAGCATGGGTCCCCTGCCCATTGGATGGGTTCAGGTATCAAGGTGAAAGCCCCCTTTTCCTTAGGGGCGACTAAATGGAGAAGACTTTCTTCTCAATATACGTCTGAATAAATGAAAATTTAAAAAAATAAGTGAAATAAAAGAAAAAAGTGTCACATTCCCTCGAAATTGAAGTACGGAGTTTTCCTTTTCACCATTTATTTCTAATTTTATTGTTTAAGAGTTTTATTTATAGCGTCAGAAAGTATTTCAAAGTGAAAATGAGGTCACAAGCCATTGGGCAATGGTGCCACAACCCCCCGCCCCCTTTTTGAGAGAGAAGGTAGGACAGAAAAGCAGCAACCTGGCCCTTGCGCCTCATTTGCACTCTGGTACCGAGAGAGTCGCTTGGCTTATCATGAGCCTCAGTGCTCTTTTCTGTAAAACAGAGGTATGGATTTCCTACCCTTCAGAGGGTTTTGCAAAGATTTAATGCAATGGTATGTAGGTTGGGGTTTTTAAACCCCATCACCTGGCTTGTGACAACTAGAATTGTCTCTGGACACTTCTGGGTATTTTTGGGGGAGCACTTGTACCCCCAACTGAGGTTAGAGTATGAACAAATGACTTTAAGCTGATTGGGTGCAAACCATTCTGGAGCTCAGTATGCCTCACGAAGGACAGGGATTCAATTGTGCTTTTTTAAAAATGTTTTTTATTTATTTTTGAGAGAGAGAGAGGCAGAGCACAAGCAGGGGAGGGGCAGAGAGAGAGAGAGGGAGACACAGAATCTGAAACAGGCTCCAGGCTCTGAGCTGTCAGCACAGAGCCCAAAGAGGGGCTAGAACTCCCAAACTGTGAGATCATGACCTGAGCTGAAGTCAGATGCTTAACCAACTGAGCCACCCAGGCGCCCCTGTAATGGCACAATTCTGTGGCAACATATGACATGTCATTTGAAGCAGAGTGTCTAAAATGGTGTTAGAAGCACAGACAGATCTGAGCCCATCAGATCTATGAAGACACAGCACAATTATGAGAAGGAATGTGCAGAATGTTTAATTTTCAAGCTCACAAGACTGCGGTGTATGTACTTGGAGTGGAAGGTTTGATGGCGTGCATGGAGCAGAGGCCCAGGCTGGGGCCACGCCCCCGGCTGTCATGGTGGTGGTGGCCCGTTGTCCAGTGGCTGAGCCAGAGAAAAGGCTCACATACAAGTCGGATAAGTCATTTTTGGAAACTCATCCTTGGAGGGTGATTGTAATGCAGACAGATGGAGTTTAAGCAGAAGGCAAGGAGGAAGAAGGGAGAAGGACATAAAAGAAGGGGCTGGGGGCACTTTGCAGATGGTTCTGTGAACGATGTGACCCTGTTCCTACTACCCGGTCACGGGCCAGTGTGAATACATGAAGTATTGATCCACGGATCAATTTTGTCGTCCCAGCCTGCCTTCCTCTGGTGCTTTGCTTCTGGAGACAGATGTTAGATGTTAGAGGAAATGTTGTAAATCGTTTCTTCTTCTTCTTCTTTTTTAATTTTTTAATGTTTTTATTTATTTCCGAGAGAGAGAGAGAGACAGCGTGAGCAGGGGAGGGTCAGAGAGAGAGGGAGATACAGAATCTGAAACAGGCTCCAGGCTCCGAGCTGTCGGCACAGAGGCCGACGTGGGGCTCGAACCCACAAACTGTGAGATCGTGACCTGAGCCAAAGTCAGACGCTTAACTGACTGAGCCACCCAGACGCTTAACTGACTGAGCCACCCAGGCGCCCCATCGTTTCTTATTCTTTTATTAGGATCTAAGAAGTGAGATATGAGCAGGTAGAAAGCGAGAACGAGAAAACTAAAATGGAGCCACGCGGAAAGGAAAGAGGTGAGGGAAGGTTACTTCCAAGTAAGTCCAGGGCTGTGGCAGGTGAAAGCAGGTTTTAATGATAGACCGTGTGATGGTACCTATTGCCGAGTTCCTCTTCTCACATAGATGTTATATGTGAACTTGAAGAGCAGAGCTATGTCATTTGGCCAGCAGGTGGCACCTAAGAACTTCCTATAGGAAAAGGGTGGCCAACGTGAGCGGAGCCCCTTCATATTTAAAAGAGCCTAGTCATCAATGTAGATTCATATTTGTGATGACGTCAACAACAAATGCGCACCCCTTAATGTGTTCTCAGAAGATTCATCTCTTTCTCTCCTTTTTCATATACTTGAATTGCTCATTCAGTGAGAGATTATATCCCTGTAAAAGGAAAACCAGAAAAACCCGAGGGTTGAAAATAAAATTGACATATATGTATGTATATACGTGTGTGTGTGTACCTATATATGTATATGTATATATATACAGTTACTTGAGGACTGCCTCTTTTTAGCAGGTTATTGTGAGGTTATAGTAGGTGGTTAGAGAGGAAGGAAATTAGATGCTAACCCTGTTCTTACCTTCCTGTCCTGGTCTGGGCTGTAAGGATTCCTTGTGCCCAAATATCTCCCCAATGCTAAGCAATCTCTCAGACTCAGGGGGAATCCTGTGCCGGAGGTAGTGGGCATTTCTGACCTTAGCAAACAGCTCTAAGAAGGTGGGTGTTATGGACTCATCTTTCAAATTTCCTGCACATTCCATGGGATTCAGGGGACTTTGATTCCCAGCGCTGGGGTATGGCTTTAGGTTGGCATCCTTTGGTCTGGTCTTGTCAATATGCTGGGTTCCACTTTCACAAGTGGGGCTGGAGCCAGCTTGGTCTAGGGTTTCGATGGAGATGTCTTGATGTTGACATAGAATAGAGATGCCCTTGTTGGAGTCTTTGCCCTTTGATGGGCTCATAAAATCTTTTTCTTGGGCTTGTGGCTTCTCTGCTGTGAAGTGAGAAGCTCTGTGATTTCGAGATAGTGACTGCTCTTTGCTTTTCATTGGGTCTTTGAGGCCAGCTTGATGGGAAAGAGACATCTGGGACTTGGTTCTGTGTATTTCTTGGGTCATGTTGGTGGCCAGTGCTCTGGGGAAGGAGGTAAAAAGAGAAAGATCTATGAAAACCAACAAGAAGGCTCATCTTTTGAATTTCCCAGTTTTTAGACCATGGTCCCCTTCAGGTGGTATTGGCTGAGGGAATGAAGTGGCTGAGGAGGGGGTGGTCACACTATGGGGTAGTGTTCTGTGGCTTAAGAAGGAAAGACAGCATTTTCTCAGGGAGAGGATGATTTGGGAGGTCAGTTGGGAAGAGGGATTCAATGGCATCTCCATGAGTTTAGGCAGCATTTTCTTACCTAACGTTATTCGTATGTGGACCTCCATGCTTCTTCCCTATCGGTGGTGAGGCCACAAGGACATCTTCTGGTCTCTTTTGAATTCCATTCCCCAAATAAGAGGAGAGCTTCTTCTTGACAATATCTACTTTGAGTGAAGGAATAAGTGTTATAGGTTGAATCGTGTTTTCCCCAAATGTCACATGTTGAAGTCCTAACCCCCACAGCACCTCAGAATGTGATCTTCTTGGGAAATAGGGCCACTGCAGAGATAGTCAAGTTAAGATGAGGTCGTTAGGGGGAGCTCTTCTCCATAGGACTGGTATCCTTAAAAAAGAGGAAATTTGGACCCAGAAACACAGAGAGAAGGAAGACAGTGTGAAGAGATGTACGGGAAAGACAGCTGTCGACAGTCTAAGGAGAGAGGCCTGGAAGAAGTCCTTCCCACACAGCCTCAGAAGGAACCAACCCCCCATTCACCTTGATCTTGGACTTGTAGCCTCCACAACCATGTGGCAATGAATAAGCCAACCAGTTAGTGGTTCTCTCTTATGGAAGCCCCAAAACCAACCTAGTAAGAGGAGGGAAAGGATGCTGGGCACTGGGCAAAGAAAGAGCATGTCAATATGCTCCAACCACATACACACGAGGTTGATCTGCCATGTTGGATGAAGACAGAAAAATGCACAGGTGTTCCCCAGTGTCGGGTGACCTAGAATCATTAACAAGGGCTTAGAAACATTGAGATCAGAGGTTTAAACTGTCCATGAGGCCCATGGAGGTTTTGCTTTTGAATGTCTTCTTTGGCAAGCGTGGTGTTTTCAAGGCAAGATAACTGGATGTGGGCGATACCCAGAGATGGTGTCTGGTTGTTTGATTCACCTCAATTATGTGACCTCCTACTCACCTAAACCACGAGGGGCAACCGCTGGCTATGATTAAGTGCGGTTTTCACTCTTGGAGTAAATGTTTCGGCATCTTGTAGTCAGAGCTGCTGTAGAGGACCCAGTTCCTTTTCAAGGAACCTCACGAGTCAGTCACTTGGGGTGTTTGCTTTAATGGGAGTGAGTTCCCTGAGTCTGCGCTGGGGCTAGCAGGCACCAGGAAGAGGGGAGAAATCCAGATATAAGGGGACTAGAATTCACATTAATCTCCTAATCCTGTTTCATCTGATCATTGCCTTGTGAGGTAGTCCTGACAAGACACATTCTTTTGTGAGCCCTTCTTCTGCCGTATCCTGCCTGCGTGTATGCGTGTAGGTCTCATCCACGTAAGGACTTCTTCTATTTCCTATCAGCCAAGAGATTTCAGGCTACTTCTCCCAGCCAGGCCACTCTTCTGCAGTTTAGACCCAATGGGCCAACAGAATCAGGAATGAATGTATCTTTTCTCTGGAACTCAATCTTTCTCCAGGGAGGCGTGGCACGTGCGTGCATCCAGCTATCCAACCCCACAAGGAGGTTTGGGTGCCTCCTCTGTTCCAGGCAACATACCATTGACTCTGGTGTTATTTCCTCCTGGACATATAATTAATCACAAAGCTCTGACGATTCCACTTCATGAATATCTCAAAACACTCCTTTTCCTCACTTGGCCAATTCCCTCGGTTGGGTGTGGACTTTGGAATTTTCCTAAACATTGCAGCCAGAGGGGACATGTAATCTTCCACTCCCAGACCCTATAGGGTGAAATCCAAGCTCTTTCAGAAGACCCATGACACCCTCCATGGTCAGAGATGCTGCCTACACTGCTTTGCCTCTACAGCACCTTATCTTGTCCTTGCCCCTTAGGCTCCTCAGTGCTGGGCTGTTTGTCCGGCACACGCACATGCGTTTGTACACACTGTTCCTTCTCACAAGCTCGGCCTCACACCCCATGTGCTCATGACAAACCCCTCCCCCACGCCCACCCCTTCAATCTCCTCCTCTAAGATTCCGCTTACACACTGCCTCTTTGGGGACATCTTACCTGAGGCCCTTCGATAGACACAGAAATCTTACACTCCTGCCCTACTATGCAAATAACTCTAATTTAGTAATTAGTGTCTCGCATTACAATTATTCATAGGCACAGCTACCTTCCAAATCAAGTGTGAGCATCTAAGGGGCGCAGACCATGTTTTGTCACATTTACTTTCCTTCATCTATTAGAGGGACTGTCACAGCGTGTTGTAAAGTCTGGTCTACGAAACATCTGTCCCAGAATAATCATCTCCGTTATGAATGTAGATGTTTTGAGCCTAATTCCCAACCTGCCAATCCAGATCTTGACAGATGAGGGCTGAGAGGATGCACTTTAAACAGCCTATCCACCGGCATATAGTTGAATCTCAGTAACAATTTTGGTAAGGAAATCATGGGAAAATACTGCCTAGTACAGTGCCTGAGAAATACTGAGGCTCAATGTATATTATTTCTTCCTCTTTCCCTTAACTTTACTGTCTAGAAGTCTCAAAGTTAGAGAGGATATAGCTTTCTAAAGGACATAGAGATGGAGGCCCCTGAATCAGTTTTCTGCTTCCTGGTCCAGATTTTTCCCACACCACCTGCCATCGAGGCAAAGTCTCTACTTAGCCAGCATGGCTACCTACCTCAGGCCTGGCCTTTTGCAGGATACCCCCCCCCCCCCCAAAAATAGGTATATGGCCTTCAGAGTCCTTTCTGAGAATAGATTCAGCCAGATGGCTTCTAAGGTTCTTTTCCAGTGTGTGAGCTCTTATTCTGGTTTGTCGTAACCATTTACTCCGGACAGGGAAATAGGAATGCTTGCTCAGACTCATCTTTTAGACCCAAAGCTGGAGGTTAGAATCACCTCCAGGCCAGCCATTTGGATATTACTCCTCAATCCTGGGTCCATATATTAGCGGTGTAGACCTAAACATGTTTACGTTGATTCGCGACACCTGGCTTTCCTCTGGAACACACTGCAGTGTTCTCAGAGCTTCTGAGTTCCGGCACCTGCTGTCAGCGAGAAGGGGCTGTAGTTTTGCCGAGATGGGGTGGATCCTTCCACGGTGAATTTTGAAGTCATATCAAAATCTAATTATTTTGAGGACGGATATGGTTTCTACAAACTATACAACGGTGGTAATTTTCAACAAAGCGGCAGCAATGTTAATCCTGGAACCATCTTTTATTGACTGATTGATTAAGGGATAAGAGCAAGCACTTACACGACACTGATTTTGTGTTTAGGTGCTATTCCAAGGGCTTGCTGAATCCTCAGATAACCTCACGAGGTGGGGAATCATCATTCCCATTTTACATGTGAGCAAACGGAGGCACAGACAGGTCCAGTGAGCCATGCAAGGCCTCACCGCCAGTAAGTGATAGAGTCAGGATTCTGACCCTGTCAGTCTGGGTCCAGAGTCTGTGTCCTTAGCCACCATGTTTTTTTTGGTTTTTATTTTCATTTATTTTGAGAGCTATAGAGAGCAAGCAGGGGAGGGGCAGAAAGAGGGAGAGACAGAAACTGCTGTCAGCGCAGAGCCCAATGTGGGGCTCAAACTCACCAACCGTGATATCATGACCTGAGCCGAAATCAAGAGTCGGAGGTTCAACTGACCGAGCCCCCCAGGCGCCCCAAGCCACCATGTTTTAACAGGATCATTGAGAAGGGAATTTTTTTTCTCAGTTTTCACTGAATGGGGTAGACAGCTTTGCAAGTTCTGAGAATCCAGACACCACTGTATAGTCCTTTATTTTGGGATGATCAGTAGCTACTAACTAGAAACTAGTTTTTCAAGTTAATTACATTCTTTTTGTTATCACAACTTCACTCTGTAGTCTCCGTTAACTGGATAGCCTTCTAAGTGGTGTATACATTTGGAAAGGGTTATTCTGTGGAGACTGGAGGTGTTTTGGAAGAGCAACATTATAAAGAATATGAGCACACAGGGGCGCCTGGGTGGCTCAGTTAGGTTAAGCATCTGACTTCGGCTCAGGTCATGATCTCATGGTTTGTGGGTTCAAGTCCCACGACAGGCTTTGTGCTGACAGCCAGCTCAGAGCCTGGAGTCTGCTTCAGATTCTGTGTCTCCTTCTCTCTCTGACCCTCCCCTGCTCATGCTGTCTCTCTCCCTCTCTTTCTCTCTCTCTCAAAAGTAAATAAAACATTTAAAAAAAAAAAGAATATGAGCACACAGCTTATGGGTAAAGAGGCCTCTTTGGGAAAATTACAGAAGTATTCAACCCTATGGAGTCAAGGAAAACACAGTGCCAATACATCACAATGGCTTACTTGAAATTTTCTAATCGGAACCAAATCTGCAGGCTCTAGTGTGAATACAGGTTAAAATAGAAGAAGGGTGGTTGAGAAGTTCATTTTGCACAGAAGGCAGGGAGGCCCTGGGTCTCATTGGTGAGTGTTGAAAATGCTCTGTTCTCAGCTCTATCAGAAGGTGTCCATCAGTTCAAGGATAACCACTCTGCGGTCGCTCATCCCGGGGATCTGGTTTTTTGGCTGTTTTTACTTGCGCCTTCCCAAGGTGACTTGCACATTAACAGTTGCTCCATCAGTGGTTGTGGACCAGGTGTAAAAAAAGAGGTGAAACCAAATCAACCCAGACGTAGCGAAAGGACATAAGCGGAAGGAGACATAAGAAAGAGGAAAATGAAGAACTTAAGCAAGAGAGAGCTCATGTGAGACACAGAAGTGACTGGAAGCCTGAGAGGTATGAGCTCAGAGAGGTGCGTGTGTGAGCCTCTCTGGAGGGCTGCGTCAGTGAGGAAGGAGGGCCGTGGAAGGCAGGGTGGCCTGAAATCCTGGGGGCGTCAGGTGCTTGCTCCCTTGGCAGTCGGGTGTCTAAAAGAGCCCTCGTTAGGAGGTGAGGGTGGCACTCCGACCTCAGCCCAGTGACTGGCCGCCCCGCCTCTCCCCATCTCCCCAGAGCCCGAGGCCTCACCTTCCCGCAGCCTCTGCAGATCTTTCTGGAGCTGTCTCTGCTCGCGGCTCAGCCCCTTCATGTGGCACACGCAGAGGTGTTCCAGTCCTTGCAGTCTCTGGCTGAGCCTGGCTTCTGCCTGCCTGGCATTCTTCTTCTCCCAGTCAAAGTGCTTATACAGAGACCCCCTGACCGCGTGCCTCTCCACCCTCTTCATGACCTAGGGACAGCAAAACAAGATTCTCCCAGGCCCCACGATTCACCCGATAGAGCCAGATGGGGGCCCAGACCTCTGGCTTTTAATCAGGTTTCAATGCTTGATGAAGTCACAAGTTGGGAATCAATGCTTGATGAAGTTGGGAAATTTGGCCCTACACTCATGAATTCCCAGGGTGACACAGAGGATTGAGGGCAAAGTCATGGCTCTGAGGCTCAGTGTCCTTGTCAATAATGTAGTGATAGGTGATAGATGATAGGCTCCCCACAGGGCCCCAGTCGGACGGCCATAGAGATCAAGCATACGCATAACGCTTTGGGAAAAAAATGGAAACACTTTACATCTACAGGGCATTATGCACCCAATAAAAGATGATTCCTTAAAGCCTCCTCAGAAAGCCTGCTCAGGGGTCTGGAGAGGATCTGGGACTTAAGGCAGAGCCATTCTGGGGTTCCTTCTGGCTCATTCATTCACACAGATGCATGTGTCCACGAAGCCCGTAGCCTATCAGGGGCTAGGTGCTGTGCTGAGGGCTGAGGGTAGAGATGACTGAGTCCCAGTGTCCACTCCCAAGGGGGCTTTCAGATTTGTGACTATGGAATCGAAGGACGCACACCAAATCTGAACCATCAACATTTCGAATACGGGAAGAGTAGGCACCTACTGGTCACAAAACAGTGCAGGCATCCCACACCGGCCACCTGGGCACCATTGGTTGGACGCCCTCACCCGTCTTTTCAGAGCCCCATGGTCTCTGCCCTTATTGTCCCCTGATGACCAAGACCAAGCTGGCTTCCTCCTCAGGGCCTCTATCGCACGCATAGGCACAACACACCTTCCTCGTCTTGGAGTCCTTCACAATACTTATTTTAATGCTAAGAGCATAATATGTACCCAGGATATAAATGGGTTGCTATTGATGGAGATTTGGTGATAATAATGCAGGAGAAAGCTTAACATTGAAAGGGAGGATAAGGCCAGGACCCAGGAAAGACGTGTTAAGACAGTTTGCTTTATAGTCTAGGTGTAGACTGAACTTTAACCGAAGGACAGGGGAGTGGCACTTACCTACAAAGCCAGGCTGCTCCCCGGGAGAACGCTGCTTATATCTTTTGCTGTGTCAGGCTGAGACTGGATTAATGAGCTTGTTTTCCTTTGGAACAGTTAGCAGTTCGGTGTTGAGGAGTCAGGAGGGAGAGGCCGTGGGGGAGAATGTTGAGTACACTTGAAAGCTCTCTCCCATGCCACCTCCCCTAGGCGGGAATGCTGACTCCTTGGACATGGGCACCAATCCCAGTGTTCTAAATAGCTCTGTGAGTGAAGGAAGGCAGCCAGCTGCCATCCCTCCCAGAGAGGGGCCCACAGGGCTCCTTTTGGGTTGTGTCCATAGGAGCCAAGAATGAAAGCCAAGAGTGTCTTGCCCTACTCACAGTCTCTCTCCTTCCCCACCCCCTTCTCCTTTTCCTCCTAGTTTGCCATACCCATCCTTCCCCCCACCCACCACACGCCTTCCTACTTCTTGGAAATCACGCCCCCTGAGAGGCACCCAGTATTGGTTTTGGTTCTTGTCTTGGTCAGATGGTGCACATTTTGTGGGTGAGAGCAGTTCAGTTTTTCATACTGCATTGCTGCACACCCTACTGACTTTTCTCGGGCTTCTACCCGTGTCGTGCACTTCGTAGCTTATTAAGATTTTCAGTTGTGAGCACGGAATTAGGCAAACTGAACTTGAAGTTGACTTTTGTGATCAGAGTTTGGACTGGTGCAGCAGAAGGACGTTTGAACTACGGATTATAGAACAGGATATTAAGTGGGGGTTTTTACCGTTGGGGGGCCCCGGGGAGCTTCACTGGAAAACAAGAGGCACTTCAGTGCCATGGCCTAATGAGAACTGCCAGCACTAGGGCCTGCTAATCCCTCCCCCTTCAGAGCTTACTGAGAGGAGCTAAACAGCCCTATTACCCACAGTCATCACCTAGCAAACAAGCTATTATGAAGAGATTACTGGGGAGAGGGAGATGGAAAGCCATTATTCTCTCAGTAGGAGGGAATTCCTTTCCCTCCCTTCCCATGAGGTAATTCGCTCACCTCCAGAATTTAAATGAATCCGGTAGGGTTCCAAGAATACCAGCCTAGAGCTTAAAGTGCCAACAGGGGGAGAGACTGGCAGCTCGCTCCCCAGCTGGAGCGATGACCCACAGAAGTGGTCCCCTTCGCTGTCGCCAGGGCTGGTGAGGGTGAGGGGTTTCTCAGAAAAGCTGGTTACTCCACGTCATCTTGAGACAGAGCTGAGAAGGGACACTTGGAGCAACAATCCAAGGCTGAGGACAAGAATGAGCCTTAGTGTGGTGGCTGTGGAAGGGAATGGTGGCCAAACCCATCCTGGTTCCCCTTGGTCCTTGGAGAGCACCTAAGAGGACTGCGGCAGCTTCCCGGCTCCGTGTGAGGGAGCAGAGGGCCCTCCGTGTGAGGGAAGCAGGAACCATGGAAGATTCCAGGTCAGATGAGGTAATCCTTCACCAGAGTGGGTGTAGAGCCACAGGCAGGGCCAAATGAGCAGGGACAGAGAGATCTGACTGAAGGTGAACTTCCTCATGAAAATACATGTTCAGAGCAGAGGACGGCAGGAAAACACGAACGTCACAGGTCAGGGAAAGACCAGTGATGCCTCAGCACCACCCCAGCAGCTCTTACACAGGAAGAGCTCTGCCTCTTCTGTTTCCTTCGACCCCACAGCCTCGGAGGGGTTAGGTATTGAGAAGACAGGGAGGGGAAGTATACAAAACAAGACCACATTCCCCATGCCACCCAAGGGGTTGGAGAAGGAAGACTGGTAAAGCAGATGATCTGCCCTTCTCTCCAAGTCCCTTGGAGTCTAGTGAGGGAAAGGTTGAAATTGTATATGGGACTGGAACTTCAAAGAAGATTGGCCTTCTTATAACCAAAATGGCCAGAAATGTGGAGAATCTGCCCATGATACCATTAAGGGACAAGAAAGGAACATCATCAAAGACAGTAATTGGAAATGTAAAATTGTCATTCTTAGATCATGTCTTGCTTTTACTACTAGGGAAAGGGAAGGTTTCAACTGATCATTTAAGTGTTTGAAATGAGGTTCACAGGATCGATGTTATGTATTTGCATTTATGAACTGTTCTATCTCTCTGTTTATATGGAAGTAGCATCCTTTTGTAGTAAAACACATTTGTGATCAAATAATTCTGTTATTTATTTATTTATTTATTTATTTATTTATTTATTTATTTAGAGAGAAACCACAGACAGGGGAAGGACCAAGAGAGAAGGAGAGAGAATTCCAAGCAGGCTCTGTGCTGTCAGCTCAGACACTTAACCTACTGAGCCACCCAAGTGCCCCTTGCTCTGCCATTTAATAGGATGTATGACTTTATTCATTAATTTGTCATATCCCCCAGTTTCCTCATCTGTGAAAAGGATTAATAGTGTGTGTTCAGCATGAGACTTCTAATAGAATTCAATGAAAGAATAAATGAAAAGTGTTTGTGTATAGTAGATATTCAATAAAAATTAGTTCCTGGTTTCCTACAAAGATGGAGTAATAGGAACTAGATTTATTCTTCTATATGAAACAATTTAAAAATCAGACAAAATTCATGAAATGATTTTTTTTTTTGTTACACTGGACATCAGACAGATAGGGTAGCAGTCCCTGAGAGCAGAAACAAACCAGAGATCTCTATTACTGCCACAGCTTACTGATGGAAAGAGTTTTCAGGCCACATCATAGGGATGGGCAGGCAGGCAGTGAATTCCCTGAGTTGACTAGACAGAGCCAGACGTCCAGTAAAGCAAGGCAGTTAGGATCAGCAGGGTGGAGTACCATATTCAAGAAGCTCAATGAATCCCAAGCAAAAGAAACACACATAAAATGACTCCAACGTATACAAAATCTAACTGCTGAAAAAAAAATGAATAAAGAAAGAGAGAAGAGAACATTTACCAAAATCAGAAATAAGAGAGGGGACATCACTACAGACTCTATAGACAGCAAAAAGCTAATAGGATATCATAAACAGGTTTACACCAACAACCTGACAAACTGGATGAAAAAGATAAATTCCTTGAAAGACATAAAATGCCAAAGATCATTCAAAAAGACATAGATCAACTAAATACCCTTATACAGATGAAAGAAACTAAATTTGTAGTTAAAATCTTCCCACAAAGTAAACTGGGCAATTCTACCAAATATTTAAGGAAGAACTAATACCAATTTTACAGAAACTCTCCCAGAAAATTGAAGAGGAGGCATTATTTTCCAATTATTTTTATGAGGTTAGCCTAACCTTGATACCATAACCAGAAAAAGACATTATAAGAAATGAATACTATAGAACAACAGTCTTTAAAAAAATTTTTTTTTAATTGTCTATTCTTTTTTTGAGAGAGAGACACACACACAGCATCTGAAGCAGGCTCCAGGCTCTGAGCTGTCAGCACAGAGCCTGACATGGGGCTTGAACTCCTCGACCCTGAGATCATGACCTGAGCCTAAGTTGGACACTTAACTGACTGAAATCATCCAGGTGACCCAACATTCTTCATGATCATAAATGTAAAGGTCTATCATATCTAATATATAAAATATATAAAAGGATAATTCATTATAATCAAATGTGGTTATCCCAAGAATAGAAGGGTGGTTAACATGGAAAAATAAATTAATATGGATCATCATAGTAATAGACTAAAAAAGAAAAGTATATGATTAGCTCGCTAGATAAAGAAAAAGGATATGACAAAATCCAAAATTCCTTCTTGGTAAAATCTCTTAGCAAACCAAGACCAAAAGGGAACTTACGCAGTCTTGTAAAGGATATTCATGAAAAGCTGACAGCTAGCAATCGTTCTTAATTGTGACAGATTGAATTCTTTCTCTTAAGACCACAGACCAGGCAGAGATGTCTACCTTCACCACTTATATTCAGTATTCAGATTAACTGAAGTTTTAAAAAGTGGCAAAACCATTCTTGGTGATAATACAGAGCAATTGAAACTTTCAGGCATTGCTGCTGGAAATGTAAAATTGTGTAACCATTTTGGGAAAGAGTTTGGCAATTTCTCATAAAATTTAGCATATACTTACATAAGACCCAGCAATTCCACTCCTAGGTATTTAACCAAAAGAAATGAAAGCATGTACCCAGCAAATAAAAAAAAAAAAAGAAACCAAAACATTGATACATACAATGACGTGAATAAATCTTACAAACATGATACTGGTGAAGAAAGCCAGTTACAAAAAAGAAACTGATTCTTCATATTTAATATTAGGACAGATGCAATTACTGTAGTGACAGAGATTAGGTAAGTGGTTGCCCACGTGGAGAGGTGTGGAAGAAGACTAATTGCAGAAAGGAATGAGAAAACTTTCTGGGGGAGACAGAGGTGATTATATGTTGCATACATTTGTCAAAACCAACAACCTGGAGACATCAACTGTGAATTTTAAAGTATATAAATACCTCAGTATAACTGATTGAAAAAATAACTAATTTCAACTTGTCAGAAAGATTCAGGAGACTTCTGCTTCCGCCATGAAGGATCGACTTCTATGGGAATTGCCCTTCTCCCTTAAAAACATGGAAGACTAAACAAAATATATAAAGTGACTATTTTCAGACACTGGACAACAGGCAATACATGTTTGGGATTCCCCCTGAGATAAGATACAAACAAGGTGAGCTCTGTAAGTGCCCCAAAATAGTGCCTGGAAATAATTTTCAGGCTGTGGTATAGGAGGGAGCAACGAAAACAGAGCCTAGCTGTCCCTTTGAGTTAAGCATCCAGACATTGGAGTTTGGGCTGGCTGTGGAGGGTAGATGTGCACAACAGAGTACCAGACAGGAGGTAAATATGTGGTATGGGGCAGGGGGTCCGGAGATCTGCAGAGGGGTCCCTTTGAGTCTGGTGGAATATTGATCTACTCATGCAAACATATAATGTCCAATAAAACTGTGGATTAGTAAAGAAAATGGGACACAATCATATAAAAAGAACTACCAAGGCATGGAACAACATAGATTAATCTCAAAAGCATTATGCTAAGAGAAAGATGCCCATAGAAAAGACTAAATCTGGGTGATTTCACTTACAGAACATTCTAGAAAAGGTAGACAATGTGCTAGAAAGTAGACAGAGGCTGCTTGGAGCAGGGATGGGGAGCATGGATTGACTTGAAAAGAAAAGAGAAAAGTTTTTTTGGCGGGGGGAGTTCCTGGAGATGTTCTAAACTTAAAAAAAACATTTATTTATTTATTTATTTATTTATCTATCTATCTATCTATTTATTTATTTATTGAAAGAGAGATCGGGGGAGGAGCGGGGGTGGGGGGTGAGGAGAATGAGAGTCCCAAGCAGGCTCTGTGCTGTCAGTATGGAGCCTGACGTATGGCTCAATCCCACGAACTGTGAGATCATAACCTGAGCCGAAATTAAGAGTCCGATGCTTAACCAACTGAGCCACCCAGGTGCTCCCAGATGTTCTAATCCTGACTGTGGTGTGTTTGCATAAATATTTTCATTTATCAGAACTCCTCAAACTGTATACTCAACATGAGTGAATCTTATTGGATGAACATTAAAGTAAAGCTGATTAAAAAAAAAAGACACAAGAATCCTTACGAAAAGGCTCTACAGACCAACTGTATTCGGAGGTGGCTTAGGCAGCAACTCTATCCTGAAAATTCACAGAGGGAAAGGATCCAGCATCTATGCTGTCTTTCCTGCACAACCTATACTTTTAGAACGATGAAAGAGTAGATAGAGGAAAGGTTTTTTAGGAGAGCTGCAGCTGCTTGATCAGAAGGAATGCTAGCAGTTAGAAAACCATTGCTTTT